AATTATATCTACCTACCTACCTATAGTTGCGGAAAATACCCAACCCTCCATTTTTAGTTCTACAATATCTAGGAATATCTCAGAAAACCCCAGTTGGATGGTTTGTAAATCCAGTTCAGTGTTTTATTCTGATTTTTTTTTAGTAGATTTTTTAACGGACTATCGCTCTTGCTCCCTACCGCTTACTCCTAGGAATGCGACTTCAGCTCTAGCGATAGACATCCGTAAAAATATTCTAGACCCATCGATCATGCCTACTGTATGATCTAGCCGCCTATAACGAAATTTGCGGCCCCTCATTTGCTTAATATATTCTAACTAGCAATCAGAAAATACCTTATTCTAGCTAAAGTCTGATAGGATTTCCTAGGAGCTCTCAGATATTTCGTGCTACCACGATGTGATTAGTGAGATGATATAGATTATAGGAGCTTAAGTGCTGGTACCCACTCGCGAGAGCCGCAAGTACTAACGCTAAGAGTCAAAGTATATAAAAGAAACACTAATCCCTCCTAGAGTGAATATATCCAAGTTTCAAGCATTTCTACTCAAGGTCTCATAAAGTCTGCTCATAAGTTCAGCAGCCTTCAGTATCCTAGGTCTATCTCTTCTCAGCCCCTCAGCAAGAGCAAAAGCCTAACTATTATGCAGATTGTCTGATACTACAAAGAAAACCGACAACCTGGTCGATATTCAAGATCTCCTATTCGATGAGAGTTGCAGGACCGTTTCCTACGTAATCCTGAGCTCTGAGTTTGTTATATATGGCCGAGGCGTAAATGGAAAGATATAAGTGACTCTCGCAAGTTTACCAGTGGGAGCGCGAGAATTTGCAGGGGGCCTGTGGCTAATGTGGCTATATATTATCCGTCATGCCACGATAATCGAGAGCCTCGCGTACCAGTTTTCAGTCTGTGCCATTCCACTCTGACTTAAAGGCATCATTTTGCCCCCTGGCCCTAGCTTGTCCGACCATGCTTCTTCCTGTCGTAGGACTTAAAAGCCTTCAATCGAGTCATAGTAATCGAGAAAATCAGAAGAGCTTATCTATTGAAGCGAAGAAGTGGCATGCCGGTTTGTTGACCTATTCAGACTTGACGAGACAACCAAAAGGCCGTATTCTATTCGCTGCCCCTCAGTGTTCCGGCTTCATATTGCAGACCTGGATAAAAGTCTCTAGAACTGACAAGACACCCGCTAGTTATCTTGTTATATTTCCTATGTTTGCCAGGTCGATGCTGTTGGATTACACTGTTTTGATTTGATGTTCGTGCAAATTAGGACCCAAGTTGCATCG